GTACTCCCCTTGAGCCTTGCAGCTGTGGTGGCAAGGAGTACCAACCATCACATCTCTTGAGTCAGTCTGATTTAGCACTAGTTACCCATGCCTTCTCTGCATTGCTGTTCGGATTACTGCAAACTGAGTTACATGGAGCTACCCTAGAAGACTGTCCGGTCAGTGCAGCGCTTCAAATGATGCAAAATTGTTCCCCAGGCTCAGGAGAAGATGTTTAAAGCCCTAAGCGGCTTAGTTCCTCTGGGGCTGCATGCCTCATTATGAACCTGCCCCTTGTTAAGAGCTGCCGGAGAGACCCTTATGAAGATATGACTGCCAGCAGAGGCCCACTTGACAGGCATGTGGGGGAGAGCTTTTTCCTCCATTACCCCCAGATGAAGGAATGCAATCACACCCACCCACGTCACTGTTGTTAGGAAAGGTATCAAGGCACAGTTAAAACAAAAACAAAAAACCAATAAGTTTTCTATAGACTCGAGATTTTAATGTAAAGAGTCCCCCCCCCCCATAAAAAGCAGATTTTGGCTGACATTCCCAATGTAACATGGTCATTGTCTAATTTTAATCAATTGTTTTTCTTTCTGTTAAAACCATGTATAGCCATTCAAGCAGACCGAGAGTTGACTGCTTTTGAACAACTTATGGTCAATGTTCCTGCTACAGAGAACAATCAGAGAAAAATCTTTGTTGACATTTATTAAGGACTGGAAACTTCTTATGGACTTTTTGCGTGAAAGAGAAAATGAACTTGTAATATCTGGATTTGAAGATTGAGAAAATGTTGGCTTATAGAAAATAGAATAGTTGGATGTCAATTTCAGTGAATACTTTGAACTAGTTGCTATATTTAGCTGCCAAGAGAATCAGAAGTCTTTTAATCTTTTTCTATTTTCCCCCTTTTTAAATTTTCTTTTTATTTCTTTTCTTTTTCCTTCTCCCTTCTCTTTGCTCCTGTTTTTTTTAAAAATTAGATTTTTAAAATATTTCTTTTACTCTGGTATATAACAAAAAGATGCTTTGTATTGGGTATAAACTTTTGTATATCTTTTGATGAGTATCGATTAAAATAAAGAAAAAATTGTGGAGAAAAAATTGTTCCTGCTACATCAGAGGGTGAAGTACCAACCATATACAAAATACTAACTGAGGTAGAATTTGGCCATCTTATGACCACAAAAATTCCCTGGGAAATGGACCTTGAAGTAATAATCTCTAATGAAAAATGGAAAACACTTTGAGTTGGGGGGCATAGGATGTTTTAAACCAGTTTCAGCCCAATTAATGGAATTCTCTTTGAAACATACATAGGCAATATATTTTCTGCTTGCAAATATCCCACAAGATACCAGGGGCAACATCAACCTGTTAGAAGGGATGTGGGGAGACTGGATCTTACATGCATATGGATGGTTTTGCAAATCTGTTTACCCATTTTTGGGTTTTGATATTTAAAAAAATGAGTTTAATATTCAAAGTGGACCTACAACCTTACCCTCTAACTTGCTTTACTTTGAATAAAGGACATATCTACTCCACCAACTGCTCATGAAGAACTTTTAATGTTCCTCCTCACAGTGGAAAACATGGAAATAGCCATGCTCTTGGGCCTGAAAACTGAAGTGTGATACTCCATAGCATGGACAATAGCCCTGGCTGAAAAGCTGATGAGCCAGATTTGTGCTACCAAAGGGAATTCTAACCAACAGCTTTTCTATATTGTGTGGCAACCGTTTTTGGATGATATGGGTTAAGAAGACTGAGTTCTCATGGTAATATATGGAAAGATTTCTTGGAGTGATTTGTAATAACTTTATTTGATATTTTTAAGCAATGTGGTTGATGTGTTTTGACTTACGTTTTATGTGTGATGTGAAGAATGAAAATGAATAAACATTATTTTAAAAACCTGAGCTTTTAACATTTGCAATGTTTTATTTTTTATTAGTTCATATTATGGTTTGTTCTTAGGTTTTGATTTGCTATACACCACCATACTGATTTTCATAAAGGCTGTGGAAAAGAATAATAAAATCAATGGACAACTTAATTTAAAATGAAGCCCAGCCTTTCTCCTGTTGCAGCCAGACAAGATGTATTCGGTTGCTCACAGAACATAACACCTCCCATGGCTTAATCCTGAGAATTCAGGGGTCTCAGGTAGACAGTCTCTGCATATGAATGTTCCATTTAACTGCTGCTGCAAACAACTGTTGCCTGGCCCATCTTCCATGAATTTGCCTATCTGTTTTGTATAAGAATACAAAATGGGGCCTGCAACAGGTGTGGAGTGTTGGTGGTGGCTGGTGGCCCTTGGGACTGGTGAGGCAGAAGGCAAGGAGACCAACAGTAGGCAGAGGCAGAGCCAATGACAGGCGGAGGCAACTCATTCAAGTTTTATGCCCACCCTCCTCCTCCTTGCAAAGTTCTGCAACAGCGAAACTTGGACTGACTGGAGGAAGTTAACTGGCAGTGCCACCCCCGGACTGATTATAATTAGTTATAATTAAGGAAGGAAGCCATCAAATTTAACACATGAGGGGGCCCACTTTAACTAAATTGTATAATTTGGTATTTAAATAATCAGTATTAATAATTGTATTAATTGGATAAAACTGGCATTGTTTTAATGAGGCTGTTATTGGAATGATATTGGAAAAACTGATCTCATATGAAATATATAATTAGTTATAATTATTTGTTGTTATTATTATGACATTTCTATCCCAGCTTTCATCCAAGGAGCTCAAAATGAGAGTTGTTAGGAGATTCTTATTCCCCACAGAACTACAGTTCCCAGAACGGTTTAACAACCAACGCCTCTTCCCAGGGAATATTGGGAACTGTAGTTGTGTGAGAAGTAAGGGGTCTCCTAACAATTCTCAGCACTCTGAATAAACTACAGTTCCCAGGGTTTTTTGGGGGAGGAAAGTAATGCCTGTTTAAAATGGTATAATAGTGTTTCAAATACATGGTGCATATGCAGCCTTAGATTACCATTAAAAGTTCCCGTCGTTTTTTCTTTTAAGAATGGAGTTTTCTGGTGCTCTATGTGGTGGATTCTTGCCTTTTTTTTGTTTTTTAAACCCCCCCCCACAAAACATCAAGGAAGCAGAAGCAGCTCATTAAGTCAAACATCTCCCTTTTGAAAGGTGTTGATTTTACATGAGAAAAGAAGCCCAGAAGCCCAGGTCAGGGGCTGAATTTGGTAAATCCCTAGGGTTTCTTTTTCTGTGTGTGAGTGTGTGTGTGTATAAGAAGGGTGTGAGAGGGCGGAGGAGGGGATTGTCCCCAGCTCTGGGGTTAATAAAGTGGGGAAAGAGTCTCTTTCAGAGGCATTGCAAACAAAGTCCCCCCTCCCCTAAAAGAAGCCCTCTGTCCAAAGGCCTACATGGATTGACTTAAACCCAGGGGATAAGTGCTTTAAATTAATCTCATTGCCTAAGAATGAGGCCAAACAAAACTCTTTTAAAATCATATTAAAAATCTATCAAAGGAACAACTTGCGCTTTTCATTGAGAGAGAGAGAGAGAAAGAATAATCCAGCAACGGCCTTCCTTACATTTACACAGCCCAGAAATGCAAATCAAAGACGTTCTGTGCTATTTAATTGCCCTTGTAGCTCCCAGCCGATGCCATCTCGCACGTTAATGAACGACAACCCTTTCTAACACGACAGGAAAATGGCAAGATTGAAATTTGTCCTCGCCAAGACACATTTGGAAATGAGTTGAAAGGTTTCACTTCGGCAAAGGGATTAAAAAAAAAAATCAATTTGAAATATAGTAGGTGAAAGCATACAACCCTAGAAAAAAAAGGTTACAGACCAAAGCTGCTGGTGTAAATCAAAATATGAACTTGAAGGTAATAGGAATTGATAAAATAGTCTAAGGCTGAAACGCTCAGTGGGACTTACTATTTCTGTGTAGATATGTAGCAAATAGCATTGGATGAAAACATGTCCTGTGATAAAGAGTTTGGAGGCCAACAGGACAGTTGCAAATAACATGGGACAGAAATTCCAGAACTATTGAGCCACAAGAAATAAATGGATTTGAAAAATCATGGAAACACAAAAGCAAGCACATGGAGGATGCTGTCAGTTGCATCTCTGTTTAACTCACTGTTCTTGGAGAAGGCCCTAGCTCAGTGGTGAAGATTCTGCTTTGCGTGTAACATCCTGGAAAGCCACTGCCAATCAGTGTAGACAATGCTGAGCTGGGTGGGCCAATGGTCTGACTCAGTATAAGACAGCTTCCCAGACCTTTTAACTTGCCTCTGCTAGGACAGTTCTGTTGTGTATCTGTATACCTGAATCACTCAAATCACCCTCAAAGATGCAAAGAATAATCTGTCCTCTGAGGAGGCTTCATGGTGCATCTCTGTATGACTGGCTACAGTACCCTGACCGGGGCGGGGTGTGTGTGTCACGGTCTCTGCTGAAAAACCTCTAGCCAAGAAGAGCCCACCATCTTCAAGGCACTCTGTGTCACAGTTGGACAGCCCATCCTTCTGATAAATAAACATCCTTCAGCCCTCTGATATTTTTTATGGTTTTTCCTCATCTTTTCAAGCTCTATAAACAGCGGCATGGAAAGGTTTTCATCGCCAGAAGACCACGCTCTCCTTGTGGCATACCAGTACAGTGGTACCTCAGGTTACAAACACCTCGGGTTACAAACACTTCGGGTTACAGACTCCACTAACCCGGAGGTAGTACCTTGGGTTAAGAACTTTGCTCCAGGATGAGAACAGAAATTGAACAGCAGCAGCGAGAGGTCCCATTAGCTAAAGTGGTACCTCGGGTTAAGAACGGTTTCAGGTTAAGAACGGACCTCCGGAACGAATTAAGTTCGTAAGTTCAGACGTACCACTGTAATGGGCATGGGCAGAGCAATGGGTGCAACACTTATCTTTGTACAATGAATGGGGAACCCTGGCTTTTGGCCTATGCTGGCTGGAGCTGATAGGAGTTGGAGTCCACCATCCATCCTAAAAGCAGACACTTTTCCATTTATTTATTTATTTATTCATTCATTCAATATATTTCTACAGCATCCTTCAAGAATAAAGTTCTTCCTAAGGCGGCTCATATTAAAAAATTACAATGAATATAATTGGGAGGGCCACCGCTTTCACCATTACCACTGCTTCAGGGGTTGCAGGCTCCACTCTGCATTCATAACCCCACCCCCCAAAAAAGAAAGTTTTGGTTAGAAGCTGTTACAACCAGCACACCTTAAATTTCATACAGGACAATGCTGTTCTGAATTTTGCTTCCCCTTCCCCTGGAGCAGGCTTTGAAAAAGGGGTGTGGAGGAAGAAGCACCTCAATTTTTGGTGATACTCCCAGATTGCAGCACCCGTGAGTCTCAGCTGTCTTGGGAGAGGCTGAGAATTTCTGGCTCATCTTTCAGTTCCCAGGCTGGCCAGCTTTTTCTTCCTCTTGACCTTAGATGCAACCATGTCCAAGCCACTCGAGTATTCAGACTGCAAGATTTCGGCCAGACGGCGCTTGCCCCGAGTTTTCTTGAGAAGAAACTCACGCCTGGGCAAAAGAAAGGAGAGAGATAAGGAAGGAGAAAACTGTTTTTAAAGGATTTGGTTTTACAAGGAGATACTGTTGGATTTTAAAATTTAAGTATGCACTTCTCAACGTTCCCACTTTGAAGAAAGTCTCACCAAACTTAGTGGAATTTTGGGCCAAACAAGATTACATGATTAACATATCCAAGTTTGCTTTGTTTTTCTAAAATTAAATAGCAGTTGTGGGGACAGGGGAGATCAGGACTTTGGCAGTGCATGCAGAAGATCCCAGAATCATGAAGGCTGGAGCATTACTTTATTTTTAGAACAATAATGTGGTGACAGAACACATGCTTTGCAAGCAGAAAGTCCCAGATTCAATCCCCAAGTAGGGAGCTGGCCAAGGATGGAATAAGGTTGGTGTGGGAAAAGAGCTCCATTCATCCTGACGGCTCGGACTCCACTGACTGAGTCTCCTTCCTTGAGTTCTTACCTTGAAAATCCATCTTCTGAGTAGCCATACATTTAGGGTCAACAGAATCCTAACATCTCTCTCGCTCTCTCTCAAAAGAGATGGTAAGATACAGCTCCCTCTTTCAAAAGTAAGCCTTATTGCAAAAGTAAGCCCTTGAAGTGTGAATGCACAACAGGTGTGCAGGTGAAGAGAACAACAGTTCACACACGAGGAAAAAGCAAAGCACAGCTGAACCACGGAGACATTTCATATCTTCACTCAACTCTCATGTTTTAAAAAAGAGCTCCCTTGTTCTGCCAGTAGTAAATATATGGGATGTGATATGCTGTACCTACCCACCAGTCCCTCTCTTCAGGAACTGTTATAAGAGGGACTTGGGTTTGGAGCACATCCTATATTGTAGGATTCCCTCACAAGAGAGGTCAGACTGGCTCCCTCTTTGCTTTCCTTCTGCTGGCAGGCAAAGACCTTCCTGTTCAGATGAGCCTTTGAAAAACTAAGGTGCAGGCGATGCTGATCACTGGGCTACGGTAGGGGCAAAGCGGATTTGAATGGCTGGCTCTAAATGTGCTATTGTTATTAACTAGTTTCTTTTTATCATGTTGCATTTCATAGTGATGTTTTTAAATGTTGGAAGCTGCCTTGATCCCATCTTGGAAGAAACACGAATATATAAATACAACAACAACAAACAATGTAAAATGGATTTTTCAGCTGTCTCAAAATGGCAGGACCAATATTTTTGCCTCACTGGAACAACTGTTCTTCTAGTGATGAAGAGAAGAAGGGGCAGCCAAAGTGCTGCCTCAAGGTGTTGCTGAACTACATCTCCCATCATCCCTGACTGTTGGCCATGCTGGATGCTGGGGCTGATGGGAGTTGGGAGTCCAACAACATCTGGAGGGCCAGTTGTTCCTCCATCCCTGCTCTGGAACAGCACTACATTGAGGAGAGGGTGTGATATGAAAATGTAGTAGTTTGGATTTGATATCCCGCTTTATCACTACCCTAAGGAGTCTCAAAGCGGCTAACATTCTCCCTTCCCTTCCTCCCCCCCCACAACAAACACTCTGTGAGGTGAGTGAGGCTGAGAGACTTCAGAGAAGTGTGCTTAGCCCAAGGTCACCCAGCAGCTGCAGGTGGAGGAGCGGAGACGCGAACCCGGTGCACCAGATTACGAGTCCACCGCTCTTAACCACTACACCACACTGGCTCTTGCATGGAGTGCCTAGCTGAATTTTCTTTAAATAGGCTTAGAGAGGGGTCTTGGCTATTGCCCTGGAATGGCAGGCATGGGTGCTGCACCTTCCTCAGCCTACCCCACATGCTTGTTTTGGGGAGAAGATGGAGGCAACACGCATGAAAGCCAGTGGTTAGGGTGTTGGGCTAGGACCCAGGAAACCAGGATCCGAATCCCTGCTCAGCCATGAAACTTGCTGGGTAAAAAGACCCTAGGCCTAACCTACCTCACAGGGTTGTTGTGAGGATGAAATGAGGTGAGAGAGAACCTTGCATGCCACCTTGAGCTCCTTGGAGGAAAGGTGGGATGTAAATGTAATAAACAAACATACAGCACTGCAATCTCTTCCTAGCAGATTTTAGAGTGAGACCCTCAGCAGGCTGCAGGGTCTTTTCAGTTGCATCACCTCAGGCTTTGGAACTCCCCCAGGAGGTCTGAATGACCTTCCCTTCCCTCTCTGCTGTCCTATCAAAAGGCAGGTCAAGACCATTATTTCCCAAGTAGCTTTTGAGTTGGCTGGGATATTAATTCTGCTGCTTTCGAGTTGTCATTTATTTTTACGTGGATTTACAGGGTTGGATTCAAGTTAAATTCTACCCAGAGTAGATCCACTGAAATTAATTTACCCAGGTTAGTTGATGGGTCTGCTCTAAGTCTAACATCACATACAACTGATGGTCTTTAAATGTAGTTTTGTACACTACTTTGGCAGATATTAGCTATTGAGTGCAGGAGAATGGCTTTAAAAACAAAACAAAAACAGACAGTCACAAATAAGGGTGGGAAGCGACAACAGCCCTGTGGTGGGCTCAAATGCTCTTTTTGCTGATGCACATGCAACACAGCCAGCTTTGAATTGCCAAAAACTCATCACAGTGGTGACGCTCGCCCCTCTTGGACCCGTGGTGCGTCTCTGGAGAAGAGGCCGCCATTTATCAGGGACCGTTTTCAACACGGATCATGCCGTCAATCCATTTGACGGAGGTTCCTCACTGCTTGCCCCATCCGGTGGCTGGCAGTGCCAAGCAATGAGGCTTGGCTACCTCTGGCTTAATGCTATCTGAACACCTGCTTTTCTACCCACTGGAGTCAAATGAGCCATCTGTGGCTGGTGTGTGCTGTGAAGGGGGGGGATGGGAGTGTCTTACGGGGAGGGATGGTGGCAGCAGTAGGAGTGGGGCATAGCATCTATCAACTGAGATATGCTCCTTCAGACAACCTAGCAGATGTCTCCACTACATGGCAACGTTGGCTGACACTGAAAGGCATATCTCGAAAAGATATTTTTTTTAAAAGTATGTTCTCATCAAATCAGGACACAGCATCAACACACTGGTGGAGGCAAAAGGGGCAGCCTGCAGGGCAAAAGGTCCAGTAATGCTGCAATCTGTGACCCCTTCCTAGGGTCAGGGGTGGGGAACCTTTGGCCCATGGGCCAAACTTGGCCCGAGAGTCTGTTTCCTCACAAACCTGATGCCATACAGTTGGAGGGTGTTTTGTGACTCTGGGAATTAGATGAAGAACTTGTTCTCAGAAGCAGAGACATACTTAGGCTCCCATGCGCCCTTCACAAGGAGCTGTACCAGTGCATCCCCCTCCCATCCACTGCGCCTTGGCAAGGACATGTTGGCTGCCCTGAGCAGCGGAGGGAGTGCATGGGTGGGAAAGTGGGCTCCTAGCCACTCTGAGCCAGGGTGGAGAGGCACATTTTTTGCACACACACCCTGGGCCTGGGCCCTTGGTGAGGGCCAACCTGGTCAACCCCCAGGTATGCTCTAAGGCAGTGTTTCCCAACCTTGTGCCTCCAGCTGTTTTTGGCCTACAATTCCCATCATCCCTTGCCACTGGTCTTGCTAGTCAGGGATGATGGGAGTTGTAGGCCAAAAACATCTGGAGGCACAAGGTTGGGAAACACTGCTCTAAGGGACTGTACATCGTTTTGAAGGGGGAAACTATACAGTCTGGGTGTGCTCCCAGATTACATCTTTTCCCTGGAGTCTTGTGACTTCTGTAAATAGGAGTGCTTATGCCCAGTTTAGGCCACTCCTGAACTGGGACCGCCGGGCCTCAGAGGCAATAATCAGCACCCATAATCCCCGGCTACTGGCCATGCTCTTTGGCGGGGTTTGGGGGCCGACTGGAGTTGGAATCCAACCACATCTGAAGGGCACAAGCAGAGGTGCAGTCTAGGGGGAAAATAATGGAAACAGAGTTGAGAACATTACATAGGGAACCTGTGGCCCAATCCTGGTGTTTACTCCAAATCCCTTCAGCCCCGGGCCAACAGTCAAGGATGATGGTGGGAGTTTTGGGACTGCAAATTTGGACTGCCCATGATGTAGACACCTGCAGATTCCCCATCCAGGTTGAAAAGGGTGAAGAAAGGAGAAAATATGAAGCAGAACGTTTAGGCAGGGAGCAATGCGCTGATGAAAAAGAGCTGTGGGTCCCCTACTGAGGCTCAGTGGCGCAGCTAGCCGCTCAGCCGCCTGGGGTGGCATGCACCCTGCACCCGGGGGCGGGGCAGGCCACCCATAGGGCGGGGCATGCCGCGGAGCCTCCAAGGAGCTGAGCGGGAGGCAACAGGCAGACGCAAGCCCCACACTGCCGTTTTGGGCATGGCAGAGCCTGCAGGTGCCCAAGCCACTGTGTCACTCCCAAGAGAGACGTGTGGCTTGCGTGCACTGCAGGCCCCGCAGCAAGTGTTGCCCCATGCGGTGTGGCACCCAGTTCACCCCCCTAACTACACCTCTGTGTCTCAATCCACCCATCCAGTCTCATATTGTAAGAACATGAGAAGAGCCTGATGGACCAGGCCAATGGCCCATCAAGTCCAGGATCCTATTCTTATAGTGGCTAACTACAAGCCTGTGATGGTGACAGATGGTGACAGCAGCCACGAAATTAAAAGACGCCTGCTTCTTGGGAGAAGGGCAATGACAGGCCTAGACAGCATCTTAAGAAGTAGAGACGTCACCTTGCCAACAAAGGTCCGTATAGTTAAAGCCATGGTTTTCCCAGTAGTGATGTATGGAAGTGAGCGCTGGACCATAAAGAAGGCTGATCGCCGAAGAATTGATGCTTTTGAATTATGGTGCTGGAGAAGATTCTTGAGAGTCCCGTGGACTGCAAGAAGATCAAACGCATCCATTCTTAAGGAAATCAGCCCTGAGTGCTCACTGGAAGGACAGATCGTGAAGTTGAGGCTCCAATACTTTGGCCACCTCATGAGAAGAGAAGACTCCCTGGAAAAGACCTTGATGTTGTGAAAGATGGAGGGCACAAGGAGAAGGGGACAACAGAGGAC